ATGAGGCGAAAACTGCGACTTGCTGTAAACCAAATCTACTGTATATTGTTGTCTCTGTACACACACACTGTACATACAGAAACACACACACACACACACACACACACACACACACACACACACACACACACACACACACACACACACACACACACACACACACACACACACACACACACACACACACACACACACACACACACACACACTACTACTACTACTAACTACTACGTACACGTACTAAAACAGGGTTACAAAAGACCACACACAATTTTCCTCCAATATAAAACCCTGACATTACAAAATGCATGATTTTATACCGGTATGGCGGAGAGATCAAAAGATGTGGTTATAATGGGAGTGGATGGGACACGAGTGGCTAATGTGTGAGTTTTTTGTTTAATCTGATTCTGTGCAAAAACTAATAATCCACCAAAATAAATGTTGTTGCTAATCTTTGACATATCCAAGACTGTGATAAAAAAAAAAGAAAAAGCCGACCCCCCCAACATTCATTATATGGAAAATAACTGCCTTTTTTGTGCATGTTTTTCATAGAAAACGCAAATTCATGTTTTCAAACTGGCAGTTCAAGGGTTAAAATCCTGAAGATAATTTAACATTTGGTATTTTTGATCAGGACTGAAGTTGATTGAAAGATTTAACCCCAAAAAGTTTAAAAAAATATTAATCTGTTGTCATTTTAGAGCAGTTTTTGGAAGTGGACATTTTTGTCCCGAATGACTAATATGTAACTTTTTTGTGCAATCTGATTTTGTGCAAAAACTAATAATGCAAAAAAATAAATTTTTCTGCTAATCTTTGACATATCCAAGACTGTTATAAAAAATAAGAGCCAGTCACTAGATATGTACATCATGAAAAAAAACAGCGGTTTCATTTATTCAAAATGGCATTTAAAGGGTTAAAATCCTGAAAAGGATTACATTTTTGGTATTTTCTATTAGTGCGGAAGTTGCTTTAAAGATTGAACCCAAAAAAAAAAGTTGTGAAAAAAAACTTTTAATATAATGTTTTTATCAAAGTCTTTTGCAGTGGACATTTTTGTCTCGAATGACTAATTTGCGTAGTCCAATGATACCGGAGGGTTAAGCAGAGCTGAAGAATGTACATTTGGGCAACAGTCAGTGCATCAATATCACATGCATTAAGTTAGGTCCATTTAAATGATTGGTTTCTTTTAACCCACTGGACTGTATTCTGGCGTGTGAAAATTGTTAATAAAATACAATAAACATAGTCCTGAAGCAATGCTAAGAGGCAAGAGAAGGCAAAATGAACTAATAGATTTTATTGTGCAGTTTAAGTATTTACGGCAGAGGAGAAAGCAAAGGAAATTGGTTAATGGCGGACAAAAAAATAAGGAAAAGTGTAATAAACACGAACAAGATCTAATTTTCAAATGCATGCCTTAAAATGGCAAAGCTTATGTAGTTGGCAAATTATTTTTGAATAAATTGTCGGTCTTAGTAATCATTTAAGTGTGCTTATTTTCCGAAAAACATACTTATTTATGATAACTATTGCCGATATTTATTATGGTTCTTGTGTTTTGAGTGCTATTAAATTGAAAACTGAATTATATAATGTAATTTCCTAATTGAACTTGTGTATTTATAGTTGCTGTTAAAAGGAGTGCTGAACACATGCTCACAGGGACCTTCTACCTTTCCCCGTTGCTTGTGGCACTTTCCATCTTTACGTTGTTTGAACATGAATAATCATGACATTCTTTCTGAACCATGTCCAACATAACCTTTCTGACTCCCTGAGTGAAGCCAGCTTGAAAAAGAAAAACCCAAGAGCTGCTCACTGATGTGAACATTTTGATTGCTAGGTAAGCAAAAAGTACATGATACTGTTTAGTCAGCAAACACAGAGGGTTGAAGCCTGACTGAGTCACTATGGCTGATGTCAGAAGGCCTTAGACTTCACCACCTCACACGACACACACGCCTAAGGTCAGTGTCCCGGCCCTGCCAAGTGTTGACCTTTGATCAGTTAGTGGAGTGCTAAAAATTCCCAAAGGTCTCTCTAGGTGTATCTCACAGCAGGACAAGGAAGGGACAACGACAAGAGCCTTTGTACTATCCCATCAAGACTTTCCCTGCCATACGCTTCGTCAACATACAGCAACTAAAGAAAAGCATAAATGTGCCAAACCTTTGAAAGTAGTGCACATCTCTTATGGAGAAAACATTTAAGAGTGAGCATAACCTTGTGTGTAACATACTGAAATTCGGAGAGCTATAATCTTGGCCACAGTCTTATCAGAAACTATGCATTTCAAAAACAATTGCTTTGATGTCTTTGAGCTACTGTGAATTGTACAAAAGTAAAAATGATCCAAGATGCAAGATTATGGTGGCTTCAGTGGAGATAAACCTTTTTATAAATTGTATTTTGCTTTAAAACAGATAAGTTTCCAGACCCTGTGCTCCTGTGCTGTTGTGCTTCAACCACTTTGTTAGCAAAAAGCCCTTGTCTCTACAATAGACTGTATGGTCTCTATACAAAGGGACTGCTGGCAGGAAACTGAGATGTATCTATTTCACCTCAGATGCTGTTTGAATTCCCATCGCACATAATAAGGCCAGCTGATATCCTGTCTTCAGCAACAAGCAGGGAGGTACAACATTGCTCCCCCATGGGCAGCTAAATAGGATTTTCACCAAAATGTCAAAGTCATTTTTTGCAATAATGTTTCTACTGGACTTCTATCTGAAGCCTTGTGTTTTTTTGAAAAAAGATTAACCTTTATTATGTCACTACAAAAAGCAGAAAATGCATGCATCTCCGGCTCTAATGAGCATTAGAACATTTGGCAGAGGGCGCTGACTATCATGAACTGATTTATGTCAGGGGGAAAAAAAGGTCAACAACAATTATCAGGGAATAAAGCATCACTTCAATTAAATCTGAAAGAGCCTGGCTTGTATTAAGTACTACAGTTCAGCGTGCCAAGTAGTCAATGCAATAACCAGACCTCCCTCATCTCTCATGCTTATTATTGTTTATGGCTTCAAAGTGTTTCCGTGTCGAGCTTTCTCTGTGTAGCCTACTGCTGCTGACTAGACAACATCAAGCCCAGCTCTCCTATCAGAAGCCTGTCTTGACCAATCAAAATGTGTCGTTGTTTACACTAAAGTGGGGAAGGAAGCAAAAGTCAGCAATTCCAGCTGTGAGAGTTATTTTTAGACGAGGGAAAAACGAGCCGAAAGACGCATGTGATATTACATTTCCGACTGGTACAGGGAGTGAGGAGTGGCGGGGATGAGAGAAGGAGGGGGAGGAGAGATATTGATGCGCAAGAGAGGAGCAAGGAAGAGAGAAAATGGAGAGAGAAGAAGAGGAGATGAGAGTGAGAGAGAGACAGTCACACTTGGTTTGCCTCATCTCTGGGCGTATCATCTGGCTTGCAGGGGAAAAATTACTGTACCAGTCCCCCAAGGGCCAGAGTGACTTCCTTAACCACTTTAATAAACTGGAAGAGTGTGATTGCCCAGACAGTGCTGCTGTCAGCGTGTTAATTAGACACAGTGCTTTATCAGAGCTGGCCACTCATGAACCGACCAAGCATATTACCATAAATGGTTTACTATCACCCTGCACCGAAAAGCAAACTTAAAGCATATAATCCAAATCCTTTGTCATTTGGCTAAGTGATGTTACTCGCTGCATGAAAAAGTGTGAGAAACCGCGCAGTACATCCTGGTATACAGATCATCTCAGTCGTCAATTTATTAAACAATAAATAAACATGCATTATTCACATTTGTTTTGGAATACAAATTAAGTATACTCTTTGAAAAATCCCATATTTTTGCATTTCTCATTTCCAAACCAGCCCTCTTCCTCATTATCCGCAGGATCCCAATTACTCACTTTCCAACTCTGTTTACTGCGTGCTGCTGTTTTTTCGCCTAAAAAATGTTGTTGTTTTTTCACCCCTTTTCTGCTTATCAGCATATGTTGTATCCTCAAATGACCACCTTTCTATTTTAAAACTGTAATTTAGATTTGTATAAACTGTAAACCAGATCAGATGTTAATTATCACAGGCTTCATTAAGGTAAAGAGAGTGTAAGGTAACACACAAACAGCACGGATACAAAAAAATAAAATAATGAATGAATAAAAAACGCTTATTGTGAGTCTCAAAACTCTTTTATAAATATACATGGAATATGCATTATTTATATATATATACATATACAGTTGCAAGAAAAAGTATGTGACCCCTTTGGAACTACCTGGATTTCTGCATAAATTGGTCATAAAATGTGTTCTGATCTTCATCTAAGTCACAACAATAGACAAACACAGTCTGCTTAAGCTAAAACCACACAAACAATTATATGTTTTTATGTTTTTATTGAACACACCATGTAAACATTCACAGTGCAGGGTGGAAAAAGTATGTGAACCCTTGGATTGAATAACTGGTTGACTCTCCTTTGGCAGCAATAACCTCAACCAAACGTTTCCTATAGTTGCATATCAGACCTGCACNATTGTGAGTCTCAAAACTCTTTTATAAATATACATGGAATATGCTTTATTTATATATATATATATATATATATATATATATATATATATATAATATATACAGTTGCAAGAAAAAGTATGTGACCCCTTTGGAACTACCTGGAT